TGATAATCAGGAGGAAATCTTCTCTGGGATGCCTGAATAAGTGTTGTAATTACTCTGCTAAAGGACCTTGTTCCTCTGCATCCCTAACGGCTAGCACTAGCCTGCTTTCCCCTGAAATACTACCACAGGCTTTTGTCAGCCATTCAGCTTAGCAGTAACTTGAAAAAGGACTGTGAAAAAAGCGACTCATCCCCACTAGTGCCGAGAGGTTGGTCCTTCCTTGCAAAACATTTATAAGAGTTACCCAGCTCAGACTGTCCCTGCAATCTACAACAAAGCATTTCAAAACTTTCACAGCACTGTCTGCCCCACTTCGCCAAGGCAGACACCGGATCACCTCGTATCACCTCCCTTCATGCTTCACCTGATTTTGGGTCACTCATGATCTGAAGTGACCCGGATAAAGAGCTAAAGGGCTGAGAATCTCGGCCCTTAGGCACCTAATTGCCTTTGCCAGTACCCAGGAGCCTGCCCTGAGGTGAAAGCAAAGTCAGGCATCCACACCAACACACAAAGGAAAAATCCGGTCTCTCACAGCAGGGAAGGCTGCACAGCAGATACCAGACTCTTGTTTCACCCCCCACTTGCACAGGGAATTCAGATGTGTTTCAGAGTGCTCTGCTGGGAATTAACCCAACCTCTGCAGTACACACTGGGCCTGCCTGGGCTGTTCTATATAGCTACTGCTATATGTTCTTTGTAGCTGGCACCGAGGGAGAACCTTGGCCTCCCAGCCTTGGCCCAAAAGCATCAGGCGTTTCAGAACTCCCCCCATCAGTTGTCCCAGATGACCTCCCAAGAAAGTTTTTGTGGAGTTCTCCATGCCTGGAATGCAGTGCTGTGTGGTAGCCCAGCAGCCTGTTTTTTTAAAGCCTCAGGGCTAAGAGAAGGCGCGTGTGTGAGGCAGGAGGTTGATCCTTTGGGAGGTGGCATTGCAGGGGCCCCAGCACCAGGCGGAGAAATCTGCATTTGGAGCTATGCTTGTCCACACTCTGAAGCAGACTCTGGAGTGAAGACCTGCCAGCTGCATCTGGGATTCCTCTAGGAGAGTACTTGTGGCTTGCTCTCGGAGGGAATGCTGTGTGCCAGAGCACAAACTAGCTGATACACAGGTAGGTGAGCAAGAGCCCAGGCTGCAAACCACCATGTGGTTGGCGCAGCTCAGCTTAGCTCCAGAGTTGGGACCTGAACCACCCTTGCCCCGATTTATGTGTGTAAAGAGGGACTTCATGCTGGTGGCAGTTCAGCCGGGAAGGCCCAGTGTCCCTTAGCCATGTGTAGAGGACTAGTAACAACGTGTGTTGAACCAATTCTGTCTAGCAGTGAAAGTGCTGAGGAGTCACTACGGAACACTAAACCCAGAGAAAAAGAACACACGCTTGGTGCTAATGGTGAGGCATAAAGAAACGTCAAGCTCTTACCCGTACAAAGCTGGCTGGAAACCAGCCTTCGCTGTCCAGAATCCTCCCCCACCACCACTCCTTGTTGGTAGCATCCATTACTTCAATGACATCACCAGCCTTGAATCCCAGCTCCTGGTCGTCCATTGTGACATGGTCCCAGAGGGCCTCTGCGTACACCACGCTGCCATCACTGATGAGCTGTGGACAGAGCAAGCCAAACTGTCAGCTCCCCCCCAGGAAAGCAGCACAGTCTGCCAACGTGGCACAGCTTTGGCACCATTGCTGCTGCGCCACGCAAGTGTTGATAACTGCTTACTCCCTGTGAGCAACCTGAGTGGGTGCAAGTCTGGCAGTTGCTTCGACTGACCTTGCTCTCAACACCATTTATTCAGAATCTTTTGGACACAGTATGTTTACTGCCATAAAGAACATAAATATGATGCTCTGGAATTTCTTTCCAGTGACTGCCTCAGCCAGCAAACAAGGATCAGGGGTACAACGGTGGCAGAGGATGCTCTTGTGCTGGCAGTGCTGCTCCGCTTTGGAAAGCCTTGAAATAAAACCTCGAGCGTCAGTGTTCAGAGACACACTTCAGAGCAGAAAGTATTCTGAGGCCTCAGAGCTAGTCTAGGGTGGAGCCTGAAGTCTTTAAGGTGGTTAAACTTAGCACTTAAGCTGCTTAAAATAAGTCCCCTGGTGAGTTTAAGTAATTATACAGGGGACAAGGGTTATTTACTACATGTCCCACAGAAAGCCTACTCAGAAAAAAGGACCCTCGACAATCAGAAGCAAAACAAAACCAAACCCAACCACCCACATGGCTAGAGGCTGTGAGCACAGCGGTGATTGTGTCGGCACGTGCCCAATGCCGCTCGCAGCTGTTCACACCGTTGCTGTGGTGCAGCAGAGTAACGCCTGGGGCCTGCTGCAGTGGTGTATTGTAAACTGCTCCTGCAGGCCACTGCAACAGGAGCGCCTGCCTGGTGCCCACTGGCTCAGCACGTCAGAGTCTCCTTTGTAGTTCAGCAGCTACAGAGCACGCATACCGACCTCAGCATGACTGAGACTGAACACCAAGGATTTCCCCAAGAAGGCAGAGTGTAACTGGAGTCCTGCCAAAAAGGACTTGCTCAGCCATTCTGGAGCAGCAGTGAGGCCGCCCCATTTTCCTCCAGGAAAATGGTGCAATGAAAAAGTCTGGGAAGACCAGCAGTCTATGGGGTAGAAGGGAGAACAAGAAAACCTGTACAGAACCCAGTGTCTGTGATGTATCACAGCGTTGCAGCAGTGTCACCCCAGCCACATAACGCACGTAGCGTGCATGCTGGGCACCTTAGATTGCTCGGTCACAGGGTTGGTTACCTGCTGCTCTGGGTTACCGGTTTTGCCTCTCCCCAGAGAAGAAAGATGCATGTTGTAAAAGAACGTCAGGATAATCGTGCATACAGTAAATCAGGAGAGAGTTAATGAGGCATTTGAAAGAAAATTCAGATAGTCTGCCTTTGGATAGCAAATGCCCCTTCGCTGAACCAGAAACAGCTTAATGCAGCGTTTCCATTCTGACAAAAATAACGATGATGGGGAAGGAGAGGATGAGAGGTTCCCACTTCTCTGCGTAGCCAGCGTGCTGGCGCTCCCCACGCTGCCTGTTCTCAGCCGCCCTCCCCCACGGGGCTGGGTGCGTCCCTACTGCAGGTTTCTGCTCTTCACAGAGGCCAGCGGGTGCTATGGCGAGCCCCAGCAAGCAGGGAACGTGGGGGACGTGCTGCTGCCATACAGCCGGCAGTGGCACCATGGGAAAATGACCCAAGGGCCTGAAGCAGTGTCATGCTAGCCTAAGCTCCGAGGGCAAGGACAGGCCTTGATCGCAAGGAAGTAGAGAAGGGCCATTAGTCTCAGAAAACCAAACATGAAGAGAGCAATGAACACACCATACAGTGGACGCAGCTACGCCCCATCAGATGGCAGGGATTTGGCCATATGAGCTGGGGGGAGGAAGGATATTTAGCCCTCAGTCTGTACCTTACACTATTTTATTCAGTTGTACCCAGTGCAATCTCTAGGCTGATATACACCCAGTCTAATCATCCCATTCCGAGAGCAAATACGAAATACTCCGAGCCAGGGCTGACATTTCCATGGCACAGAAACGCCTGCGGTACTGCATGTCACTGCAGCAAGCAGAGCTGCTCCAGCTGGGGCAGAGCACGCTGCAGCATCCTCTCCAAGGAGCACACTGTTGCTGGGGAAAAAAGGGTCAGGACTCCTTATGCCAGGAAGGATAAAACACACAAATGCAAAAATGTGTTAGAGCGTGGCACAACCAACCCGCTGTGTTGTGAGAGCTGCGTCTTCCGGAGAAGCCTGCCTTAAAGTGAATGCTCACCATTTCTAAGCACGGCAGCTCCTCAGCTCAAAAGGCTCATCTTACTGCAGGTTTTGATCTTTGCAATTAAAGTAGGGTTTGAAAAACAACTATTAATTTCCATGTGCAACAGCATTTATGTGCTGGCTTTGTAGTATCAAGGGCAGCTCAGTACACGTTCTTCAAGAGCCCCATACCAGTCTCTAGAAGAGAAACATCAGAAGGCAGAGGACGCGAGCCCAGGCACCCTGCAGCTGCTCCAGCTACTGCAGCTGGCAGCAGTGAAAGCAAAAATTGCCTATTTTTCTTTGTTTATATCAACAGTTAGGTTTGTAGACAGCCGTGTTTGCAACCCAGAGGCAATACTAACACTGATGCTTTGAAACTGAAAATGGGCTGCAGCTCTAATGCTGCGCTGGCGTTCTGTGCGTCTGCAGCTGCTTTCCCTGCTCCCCTCACAGCCACTCATGCTCGCTGCTCGTTTGCAACCACGGCAGATGCCGGGGGAAGGCGCCAGCAACGCAGTGCTCGTGCAGGTTGCTCAGCATATCACAAAGATGGAGAGGGGAGGATTGCTGCATCACTCCTCCAAGCGATCGATGGCCATGCACGGGCTGCCAGCTTGGCAGCACAGCCCGGCTACCTCACACAGCTGCCCCAAATTAAGTCCATTACACGTGGGCAAACATCTGACAAGCCAAGGCCCAATCTATGGGCTTGTTTGCATTCCAGCTGCTCGGTCCCCAGACACCTTGACATAATTACCTCGTATGTCCTGGTCTTGTTCTGACAGGAGCTCCAGGCAATATTAGCAAAGATAAAACATCTCGACAACTTACAGAAGGAGGGATGAAAATGCCTTTAGGAAATGTTTATCTTTGAGCCTCTTGGTTCTACTTGAATAAAATGTGAATAGCTTTCTCTTGATAATGCCAAGTACACTGGATCATGTAGAACAGAAAAATGAACCCAGGAGCATCAGGAGATCCGGGAACAGGGCAGTTCAGGAAGGTGCCAATAAAATGGAATTTACTTTTCAGCTCTGTGACCCTAAAACAGATGCCTTCCATGAAAAGCACTTGAACCCAAGCCCTTCCTGGCCCCCTGAAGTGGTTGCTGTGAAGGCTGCCTCCTTTGCTCAGCCACCCCAGAAACTCTGGGTTACAGACTGAAGCTGAACTGGGTCAGCACATCAAGCACTTGAACACTGCAGCGGTGCTGACCTTAGCGGCAAAGGCCCCCCTCCCAGCTCCCGTTCCTTCCCTGTGCTTCCAGGGCTTCTCTTCTGCCTTCTCTCACGCAGAGCGCAGCAGAGGAGTTAAAGACAAATTTGATTTCCACTCTTGCCCCAAAGCAGTCCTTCATTCAGGCAAATACTTGTTTTTCTGGAACATGGGTAGAAGACAGCTGGCCTCTCCCTTGAACTGAGCCCACGGGACAGTTTTCAAATCGTCCTGACGGCTACTCTTGCTTCCCCTCAAAACTTTTAGCTTCGCTGTTTCATGATGGACAGCAGAGATTAAATTTATCTCATAGAGGTCTGAGCAGCAGGCATTTAGTCTGAACGAGTTATCCTGGTTGTCTTCACAGAGCATCTCCCCTCTGTGGGGAGAGACAGGCACCCCGGGAAGGTTCATCTTTGGATCTATCTTAGCACGAGCCCCTGGGGGTCCTGTCTGCCGTCACTGCCAGGGAGGAATCTGGGCTAGCTAAGACTTGCTGCCTGGCCGCAGGGTGCCAGAACCACCGACACAGCCCCACAACAAACACTTCATTGCTTCTTGCCGCTCCCCTGCCTGCACGTTTCAGGGTAACGCGAGCCCTCCTTGCCCCAGCGTTACACCAGACGGGCAGGGGGCTGCATGCCGTGCCCCCAGCCGAGCCGTGCCCTCGGCACTCGTTGCCCTTTTTCCTACTGTGTCAGCTGCGGATTTTCTCAGCACATTTCAGAGCGCTGATTAAGGACAGTGGAGGGCTCTCAGGCATTTACCAAACACTGCAGAGCTCCATTCAAAATATTTTAATTTGACAGTGATTCTCCTTAACAAATCTGAGATGTCAGTCAGCCAAGATCTTAATCCAGTTAAGTGTGCTACGCTGATATTCTTTCTATAGTGCTGCTTTTTTAATCAGTGCCTGCAGTCAAACTCCTCATGTGACATCTAGTACAGCTGCCTCCATTTACCAAACATTCACAATTTGTCATCACATTTATTTGCTAAGAACTGTTTTCCACAAAACCATTCTGACTGGCATTAATTACATTATTCCCTTTTATTTATATCGTCTGAGTCCTGGTTCCCCCTCAGAAGTGGTTTAAACAGATGGGAAGAGAGGAGGGTCCCCCGCAGCAGCCAAGGAGAAGCTCTGAGGGCTGTCTTTATCCAGTGCTGCAGGAGGAGGGAAGCAACCCTGGTAGCAAGCGGAGGAGGCAGAGCTGTGCTCCACGTTACTGCAACCTGCGTGTGAAGAGCACGGCGTGAGGAAGCACACCGGGCGCGTGTCCATCGGAGCCCAGTTAAATGTGATTTTTCAAACTCCAGGGATGCAAGAAGCTCTCAGTTCCTCACCTAAGATACGGGAGCCGATTATTATAATGCAAAACAGATAGACTGAAATTGCTTTAGACCTTTCTACTTTTGGCTGAAATAGGCCAGGAAAGTTCTCACAGAAGAGTGGGGATGGCTGCCTGCAGCTGATGGAGACACGTGCTCATCAGGATCCTGGCAGTGCCCCAACCATCACGCTCCCATGACCTGTGTATCAAGGGAGTCTGCTAACTTGGGGAGCTAACATCCTTAAACTCTGGCATAAAGAAACAGGAGCAAAG